TCTACCGTAATCCTAAAGTAGTGAAGGGCGATCGGTGATTCGCTCCATACTGTAAATCTAAGTTGAAGACAGCTCCACAAAACGGTAGCTGAAGCAAGGCAAAATACTTGTTGGGAAGAAAGATATTGACGATCAAACAGTGTATACATACCTTACGGACACCCTGTATATATAACCAGTGCTTCACCTCTGCTTCGCAGAGGCTCGCACTGGTCCTACTATCTGTATGTCTTACTCATTCAAGCAATAATGACACTGAAACTCATTGCGCAATGCCGACTATCGCGAATGAATTGTAAACAAATATAGACTGCTGCATGACGAAGGCGCAATATCGTTGGGCCGCGAACGCGGCTTTTTTAGCCGCAGAGCGCATGAGGCGCAAGGTTTACAACGGTGGAGATACGCGCGCGCCGCTTTCGCGCCCACTCAAATAATAATGCTTCTGCGCCTTCGTCATGCAGTAGCCTTTACTCATTTTGAAAGCTTTTTCATGTGAAATAGGTGATTTCGTGTGAATGTTACTTTTTGCAGAAGAACGAACGCAAATTTGAATAGGTTTTTGAGTCTTTCATGGTTCTGGTAGTCGCCATATAAACAATAATCTCCATGAGCTACTTCTGTGCAAAAATCTTGTCAAATGCTCTGCTAAAACTTTGGAAAATTGACCATTCATGCAATCAATTCTTTTAAGCGCCTTTTTTTGTAAAGAGTGGACTTTTGATAACTTTTTTTGGGCTTTTATTCATGGCTTGCAATTTACTTGCCATACGCATTCGCGACTCTACAAAAAGTGGCATTACGGATTTACTTTTGCGGGCCAGAAGCAAAGTGGATCCGTTTGACGCGCAATTTGAGCGATCTACGCAACGAATCTGCTTTTTTGCGTGTTGGACTTTCGCGCCAGTAGCATGCGCTACGCAAAATTTGAGCTCAGGACGTTGGCTGGAGTCTGCTCTACGAATTTCGTAACACACACACACACACACACACACACACACACACACACACACACACACACACACACACACACACACACACACACACACACACACACACACACACACACACACACACACACACACACACACACACACACACACATACACACACACACACACACATACACATACACATACACATACACACACACACACACACACACACACACACACACACACACATACACATACACACACGCACACACACATACACATACACACACACACACACACACACACATACACACACACACACACACACACACACACACACACACACACACACACACACACACACACACACACATACACACACACACACACACACACACACACACACACACGTAAACACCCTTAGCCCGTTATTATAAGTCATGATATATACAGGGTGTCCCAAAAAAATGTATCGAACGTTTGATCGTTAATATCTCTCTTCCCAAAAAGTCTTTTGCCTTGTTTCAGGAACCAATCTGTACAGCTGGCTTCAACTTAGATTTGCATTATAGAAAGAATCACTCATTTCTCTTCATTACTGTATGATTACGGTAGAAACTTCAAAGAGGGTTTGAAGCAATGAAAGGCCAATTTTTGCCTCAGAAAGGAAACAAAACAGCCTGAAAGCTTTTACACTAGGCTAATTAGAGTTGTGTCATAACAGTAAAGTTTCCAACTTATTATGATGCTTCATTAAAGAGTTATGCCAGGTAAGAGGTAGCGGCCACTTTTTCAGTGTTCCTAAAAAGTGCAGTTACACCGTTTAGAAAGCTTCGTAATCTTGTGAATAGTTGAGTATTGAACTCAGCGCCCATAAAAACCCTATTACACAATTTTCCACAATTTTTTGAAAAATCTTGAAACGGCAGCTTTTTCCACATTGACACCATATGTTGCAAGTTTCTAACCTAATCCTACAGTAATGAAGAGAGATGGGTGATTCGTTCTATACTGCGAATCTAAGTTGAAGCCAGCCCTACAAAGCGGTACCTGAAAAGGCAAAAGACTTCTTGGGAAGAGAGATATTAACGATCAAACGTTCGATACATTTTTTGGGACACCCTGTATATATACACTGTTTAATCGTTATTTTTTTCTCTCCCTGACAAGTCTTTTGCTTACCTTTAGGTACCTTTTTGTAGAGCTGGCTTCAACTTAGATTCACAGTATGCGGCGAACCACCGATCGCTCTTCTTTACTGTAGGATTACGGTAAGGGCTTTTGGCTTACAGCGTCATTGTGTTTAGTCGTGTTTCAAAAAAAAGTTTCCAAAAATTCTAAAAAGTGGTGTACCAGGGATTTTTAGCGCACTGATTTCATTGCTCAACTTTCTAGGAGCTTGTAAAGCTTCCTAAAGGGTGTGATTGCAATTTTAGGGAGTATCGTAAAAGTAGCTACTTAGGTTTAAGGGGGATAAGTCATACGGGAAGCATCGCGGTCGAATGCAAAGTTCATATTTGGTCTTGGCGACTTCAATTAGCCTAGTGTAAGAGTTTTCAGATTGTTTGGTTTGCTTTCTATGACGAAAATAGGGCCCTCATGGCTCAAAACCCTTCTTGATGTTCCCGCCGTAACCTTACAGTAGTAAACGAAGATAGTTGTTTCGCTCCATATTGTGAATTTAAATTGAAGCCTGCCCTACAAAATGGTACCTGAAAGCGGGCAAAAGATTTCTAGAGAAGGGAGAATGATAAAACAGTGTACACATACTTTTAGGATACCCTGTATATAGAGATGATCGGTCTGGAAAATACAATCGACGCATTTTAGCTCATTCAAAAACTTATCAGTTTTACTCATTCATTCGAAGCATACACGACCGGACCATTCTGCCAATTTCTGCAATTTCGGACATACGACCCATCGGTGCCCACTTTTTCGTTCCTTTGTTTTCATTTACCGATAGGCTGTATCGGATGGTAGTCTTATATGTATAGCCCCGCCTAAACGGTGCCGAAATCGTTATCGCTTTGCAATGTTTAGAAAAACGAGATGGCAGTACACGTGCGGCCCACCAATGGGTCGTATTGCTTCGAATGGGCTAATGTGGTACTTCAAGACATTCGTCCTTCAAAGATGTTTGCTGATTATATAAACCAGTTCCAAGCATCCAACAAGTGATTTTATTAATTTATGTAATTTTGAATTGCCTTCAAAGCTATTCCAAGCATTGTAAACTTCAAGAATCAGAATGAATATTAATCTCAGAGCAATTTTAATTCGATTTCCTCAGGAAAACTCAGCGAATTAGAACATTCATTTACCGCGACCCTCCGATCCAATCGTAACAAAGGTTGTTCTTAGAACTACCTAATGCTGTCAGCAGAATTCCGCTTATATTGCTGCTAAAGATTTTATATAAATTCATATTCTTCAGTTCATTGGTAGATCGAAGCACAATAATTAAGAAAAAGTCCCAAAAATCGGAAGAAGGAAACGGATGTTAGGCCTTGACCACATTTCAAGCGATTACAGTCGCGACGCGTTTGGCAATATTCCAATTGTTCATAACTCATCGTGCGCGCATTCTAAATGTGTAGAAGATGGGGCATTTTGTCAATCTGGAAAGTTGTACAGACTATGGATTTGCTGTCTGTCTATTGGATTTGAAGACATCTGGCAAATTGCCAGATCACGTAGCGACTGAAATTGCGCGAAGTATGGCCATGACTTGGTGTGTTGAGTTCTGATCGGTTTCTACCGATCGGAATGAAGTTTTCTGATACAACACATAGTTATGTGTCAGTAGGGGTGTATGACTTTATGAACGATAGCATGTGCCAGCCGCCAGCTGGGTACCGTACCGGTGCGTTGATCGCTCCGCCCCTTGTTAATTAGCCTAGGAATGCGTTGCACTCATTGGAAAACTCTCTAATATTTCGTTCTTGCTTCTTCAGTTGGTTGCAATTTGAATAACAGTAGATTTCAAAATTTCAGTTAAATTGAAAATCAGTTTTCAGATCATTTTTCATTATAAAATTAGTTCGCAAGCTCTTTCTAATGTATTGCAATTATTTGTTCCTGGTGAATTTGTCCAAATTGATTGTTTATTGTAAGTATGAGGTAATTATTTCATGCTTGGAAAAGTGTTTTTCTTTATTCACATCTGTTACTACATTGAATATTCGTTATTGTGCACCCACAAGTTTAGTTCAAAAAAAAAAGTCAGCTTATGAGAAATATTATTGTCATTGCTGAAATGACCAAAACGATTATCTTTTTTATCCAAAAAGTAAGTTTTGAAACCCTAATCGTAGCTAAAACCAGATTTCATTGCGACGAGAATTCAAAACAAGCATTATAGGCAAAATTTGTTTTAAGCAAACTAATTTCGATAAATTGTGTACATCATTACCTCTGGTAAGGTTTCGCCCAATCAGATATCACTCGTTTTGCAAATATGAGGTCACATAGATCACACAAACTTTTTCAGATTACAGAAAAAGGAAAATCACAGTGCACTTATATTTTTTCGAATCTGCCTTAGATAACAAAATTCTTTCGTTTGCTTTCAAAAACGTTACCCTCAGTATAAATTGAAACTCAACCGAAATTGCGTGTGAACTAGTCGTAAGATGTGAGGTCACTCAGACAATCATGCCTTAGGTGTTCTAGATTGATTTCACACATCAAAGTTGGATATCCACGAGTCACTCGGTCATTCATAGGTAAATCAGCAAATGTCTTGAATTCGCGATCAACACATTAGCTGTTCATGACTGGCAAAAAAGAAACAAGAAAGCAAAACAAAATTGTGTAAATAGTCAAGCTTCACCCCAGCTTGCAACAAGCTTATAACTCATTATCAGAAGTTGCTTTCACTTGCCTAGGGAACATGGCCATGAACCAGCTAGGGCTGTACTGCAAAAAACTCGTCCATCTTGCGATAGGCGGGGCTAACGGTGCGCACCTTATTGACACACGCCTGCCTAAGCGCGCGCTATCGTTCATAAAGTCCGCCACCCTGTCAGTAGCTATCAACTCAAAAAAATTGTTTGTACCTACCATAAACATTTCTCGTTCCTACATGGCGCGCGTTTGTAGGTTCGTCCCTAGCAAACATAGCCCACGTAGTCCACTTTGTGAAATCATGCTGAAAACTTATTTGAAATAAAAAAGAGGACTTTTTCATCATGCTCACTTTGAGTTTAAGATGAACATTTTCTCCCCATCCAAACATGTTTTCCGAAGGAAGCGATGTAGCAATTTGGAGGAATTTGTCGGAAAATATAAGTGCACCTGTAACGAGCATGAAATAAGTGAAAAGTATGAACGAGGAGTATGAAGGAAATTGGTACAATGTCATTTGACCAAAACGCTACATACCGATAGAGCTATCAAAAAGAATTGTATTCGTAGATGCTCGTGCCACAGTAAAGGAGAACCCTCCCTCTCCTTTGGTTGTTAGCTGCAAAACTCCATAAACTAAAGCAATGTGATTTAATCTTCCTTGCAAATGCATGGACAAATTTCTGGTAGTCTCTTGCGAGGAACGCTATGGACAAACTGCTTATAGCAAACCGAATAATCCAGCAAATTATTCGATACAATCTGATTCGTAGCTTGCACATTTCAACCGGCCATATGAGGTATTTGAGGTGATAGGTCCTTGTGAGAGTGATGTCGCTTTTGAAAGGAACCTCAGTTTCGTGGAACAAAGATTTTTAAGTAACATTGGCAGCATTTGGTGCAGCATTGCATTCCCTTCCTAATAGTAACACATTCATTGCAGCACAATCAATAGGCTCTCAGAAGATCATCAAATCAAATTGGCACTCATCCTTTTTGCCATAGTCAAGTTTCGCTAATTTCGAAATCATGCCTTTTCTCAAAAGAAGCTCAAGGGAAGGATGGATAGGGGACAAGCTACAGGATATGAAGAAATGTTTAGAACCATTCCAGGGCGGCGGCCCAGGAGTTCCCAAAGCCTCGCCGCCTTTCCTTACAGGGGTAGTTAGCACCTCCAAGGGGCCTTCGCACCTTTCAGACGGCTCCGCCCACTTGCTCCGCCCACTAGCTAATCTTATTCTGAGTTGTGCAGGCTTGGAGAATAATCCCAATGTGTTCTGCTAAATGGATGAATGATGACGGATGGAAGATGACAGATGAGAAGTTACGAAGTCTACTTGTGGGCGCCGCTTTGTCGGGAGCAAAGATTCCGACAAAGCGGCGAGCTTTAATCTATGGTAATGCAAAAACAAAAACTGTGAAAAATCATTTGCAGTGGAAATCAACTTATCAACGCATTCTCTTCACAAAACACAGTTTCGAACCAATAATACTCATTGCTTATCTGGTTGGGGGGGGGGGGGGGAGACTCAAAGTGTTTTTGCTTATGAAATGCAATAACTAGGAGATTTGCCTCGCAAGATGACAATTTTTCATGAATTTTCGTCGCATGCCTAAGCTATTCCCTTAGCCCGCAGCCTTCGAATGAGACCAGTGAAGGAGTGGAGCGGGGCGGGGTTTGACCTCCGTTGCGCGAAGGTGCGAGGAGCCTTCTGGAGTGTGAATGCTGGTGCGAATGGAGGTGCTAGAAACTCCTGCGTCCCTTCCCCATTCCAGATCCCGCCATGAGTTTTTGATAGACTTTTATTTGAAGTCATAAAAATTCGTATTTGTTCAACCTAAACCTCATAAAGCGCGACCTGCGAATGTACTTAATGTACCTTTTCTCCTCTTTCGGACGAGAATTTTGTTTCCGATTACTAAAGATCTTGAAGGTAAGATCATCATAATCCATGCTTTGAAACGCGAACAATGAGCCCCAGAAATGTGCTCGAAAATTAAAGATTTGATATTTCAAATCCGCAAACGCTCTTTTGCATTGTGGTATTGATATAAATTCATGATCCAATGAAGGTTTCAAATTCCGAAGATTTGTTAGTGTTTGATGCGTTCGCGTCTGTGATAGGTCTGTTAAAATACAGTGGTCTCAATAAATTTTGTCAAAAAATTATGGCGAGCTATGTAAAGGAGGAAAAGGTTGTACTGTTTCCTGTAGGGTTTGTTCTATCCACCCTTTACTTGGACTCCCTTAGAAAGTAGATATGGAAATCTAGCAAAATGGTGATTGATCATCTCAAAACATATAGGTCTCAGATTTTGGCGGTTTTTCAAGAGCATTTCCAAGAGCTCATTGAGTGTGTTGCAATGATTTCGTGACCATTGGAAAAAGAATGAAATGGTGCATTGAATGTTGCCAAGATCTCTTGGAAATCTTTGCCTCACTGTGACGTTTATTTAACACATTCACGACAAGGCCGATTTTTCAATTACAGCCGTCTCGGACCAGAGCCTTTTTTGCTTTGTTAAAGTTACGACCCACCCGTGGGTCGTATTGCCCGAAATGGTAGTCTTTTCGGAAGAAATTCAAAACATGTCTACAAGAATTCTCCCACAAGGGTTATCGAAGGCGCTGACTATCAAAATATGATTATTTCAGTTTTTGATGGGATACGGTTACGGTAGTCATTCTGTACAAACTCAACATCATGGATTTTCATAGAGAATTGTGTTTTGGGGCTATTTCAGTGCTGATCACGATTATAGTGTCCACTTTGTTCACTACTTTTCCACAGTGAGACTACGGCAGCAGTACGGTAGATTTTCGTAAGAATCAAGAAACTGATGTAAGAAGGCGGTATTAGAACTTGAAACTATCATTTTCGTAATCAACACGCTAAAAAACCTATATATTAGGTTGATGCAAAAGTTCTTTCCGCCCATTTTCAAAAATTCATAACTTCCGATGTTTTCAACCAATTTGGATGCATTTATTTTTGTATGAAAGAGTAACTCATGCTCTTCATTATGACATCTTAGCTGCTTGCTAGTGATCATTTGTTGCATAGATAGGAGCGATAGAAGAAAATTGGTCAAAATTTGAATTTTCTGTGTAGGGTCATAAAAAATCAAAAACTTGCAACAAAAATCGGAGCAGTCAGTATTGTAGCTTCTTTCACAAGCTCTTTCCAACAGTGCAAAGTTTGCGCCGATTGAGCGTCTCTACGAAAAGTTATAATTTTCCTGAAAAATGCCAAAATAAATCAAAATTGCCCTTTTGTATTGCTTGCTTGAAAATCATAACTTTTGATAGAGACGCTCAATCAACTCAAACTTTGCACCATTAGAAAGAGCTGGTGAAAGAAGCTACAATACTGACTGCTCCGATTTTTGTTGCAAGTTTCCGATTTTTTATGACCCTACACAGAAAATTCAAATTTTGACCAATTTTCTTCTATCGCTCCTATCTATGCAACAAATGATCACTAGCAAGCAGCTAAGATGTCGTAATGAAGAGCATGAGTTACTCTTTCATACAAAAATAAATGCATCCAAATTGGTTGAAAACATCGGAAGTTATGAATTTTTGAAAATGGGCGGAATGAACTTTTGCATCAACCAATATGTAAGGTTTGAGCTTTCTAGGAGAACAATGCGAAAAATCAATAAAATCAATAAAATCCATAATTTTGATGGGCTGTCATCAGTCTCGTGTCCTCCCTGTATTTCTCGTGCATGTAAAATTGAATTGGCAAAAACGGCACCACTCTGCGAAGAATTTGAGCTAAAGTCTGTGCCTTATCTCTATGTTGCAAATTCCTTATTGCAATATCTTTTAATGCGGCAGCCATTTTTTCAAAATATTCAATGGCTCTCTGAGCAAGGCAATAACCATAATGAGCGTGATCGTGAAATTTGATGAGTTTACAACCACTGCTCCATATAGCAACGGATTCTCAGGTTTCTATCTCTAGAACGCTTTTTTACCATCAAATATATTGAGAAAATCCATGAAGAAGCATTCACATATAGATCTTGTCCAATCATTTGCGAAGAAGCAAGCCGCATGGAACGCAACCTAAAACGTGGTAGACTCACTGAAAAAGCATTTTCCGGAATTGGACCAGAATTCTCTTTCCATGGTTTCAGTAGGTTGGGAAACATATCTGTCGGCGGATCGTATCTAGAAAAGACTGCATAAATTGCTTCACGTCTTCAAAACGATGGATGATTGTTATGCTTCAGGATAGATAATTGTTACTCTTACTTAGAGGAAGCTGAGAGAAACTCTGGAATGCTTTTCGCATTTTTGAAATGCTCTTGTCTCTAGCGTGATTTTTGACTGCGTTGGTGGGATTTTTCCGAGAGCCAATAAAACTCATGAAACAAAAAAGGGGTAATTTTCTTTGAATAGTTATGTTAAGATGTAGAAGATGTCCCAGAAAGGTGTTCTAATTCTCTCGAAGCTTCACACTATATTGCTTGATCAAGCAGGAAAGCACTGCGAGGATGACAGTCATACATGCGAGCAGGGATCTGAAGGGTGCGCCAAAATTACCGGCGCCAATTTGCACAGCGTCATAAACAATACACTGGAAAACATAGACTCAAATTTGTGTCATAGGATGTGCCCTAATCAAACTCTACAGATGACACTTTACATAATTTGAAATGACCTCTTCTCAAGAATGTGAGAATGAAAAGGATTAGACTAAGAGTTCTGTAAAAAAATGGAATTTCTAAGCCTTTGTATTTTTGCTTTGCAACTGAATGAAATCAGAGCCTATCTAGATCAAGAACTGAGCTTGTAGAGCAAATTCCGCACTATCATATACTAGTTGCAATTGCGGAAAACTGTTCCCTTACGAAATTCTATGATGTATTTGCGGAAAGTATTTGCGTACGAGCATCGAGCAACCTTGTACTAAAAATCGATTCTGAGACTTCGGATATGCAAACAAAAAATTTTGAAGTTTATTTAGAAGATATTTTTTGATTCCCGGGCGCACCCAGGAGGAAGAAATTCCCCTTTTCGGCATCTTCCTCTCAAGCATGTTGTTGAAAAAGCTGAAAATCCTCTTCGAACTTGCTTTCAAGTTTCCGTACTCAACAATTTTGGAGGCAAAGTTTTACCCTATCACAGCGCAACTTCAAACAAGAGAATAGGTTTACAAGAAAGATATTCTATAGATTCTCTAAGTTGTACCTGCGTACGGAGTGCCTTCAGCTGGAGAGGATTTGAGATTTTCTCGAAAGATAAAGACCCAAATTTTGATTTGACTACTGCATTACGATGATAATGGTTGGTGAAGACAAGTACATGCTTAATCCATCGTTATGTCCATCTTATAGTTTTGCACCCATGGGAATACGCACCGGTATTTTTGGCGCACCATGTACCCGCCTTGGTTATTGTTATTCAAAGTGAAAAAAGGCAAAATAAATCAGTTATCCGATTACCGTATTAGGCATGGAATGAAAAATGTAGGACTTATCTACTATCTAGCATTTACCTTTCAGGTGCGTTAATTTTTATGTTTAACACTTTCCCAAGCAGTCTCGAAGCAAAGAATATTTGCTGAAGATCTGGATTTTCCTCAGTAGCCCAGGGATTTTTGACAGCCTCATCTTTCTGTAGAGTAATCACCTGTAAGAAAAGTATTTTGCAATTTATGCACCTAGCAAGTATTCTACGCTTACCGAACCATTTGTTGATGCTTTTGTGTAACCTAAACCTTCTTTGAAAAAACACCATGGTTCATTTCTGTTATCCTGAAGTGTACACAAGTGTATGAAATTGGGATCATTCCACTTTATCAGGTCAAATTCCTTTTGTAAACAAATATTCAAAGTTAGAGCGGCGTTGGAGGGCATTTATAAGCGAGCTCATTCGTAGGTTGAAGGGTGACTTACAGTTCTGTAGTTACCGCACATCGCACAAATTCTTGCTAATTAATTTCCATACCTGCTCTGCATTTAACCATGTACAGCCTCTCTCTTCACATTTGCCTTGATTAGCGCCTAACTCTGGGAAACAATCAATGCGCACTTGAGTTGCCAAAGAACAGCCAACCAAAACTGCATACACTATGAATACACACCTGAAAAAATTTCCAGTCGCTCAATACCTCATTAGTATACTTCGAACACTCTAATTTCGGGAGTGTAAGGCTCACACATGCACAACTCGACTACCACAGCGAAATTGTGAAAAGCGACTAAGTTTTGAGTGTGCGTTACTGGACTTGCTGTACTATCAGTATTACTGCCGAATCGTCTGAGACTCGTGAGCGAGGGCCAAATAGCCGATCAATTGACAAACGGCACACGATGTTCGTAAGGTTTCAAGAAGGTAAATAGCAAATCAAACCGAGAACGTTGCCACTAAAATGACAAAGAATAAAAATCGGAGAGAAGGACAATCAAATGCAAGAACTCATGCACTATTACGAATAATATGTATTAGGTTGTCCGGAAATTAATGCCCGTTTTGAATTTCAACAGCAATAAGTCATACACTTCTCACTTCTGAATGGGTTGCAAAGTACCATTTGATAGAGCAAAGCAAGCTCTACAAAAAGGCCATCTTGCTTTTGCAACAGCTCTCATCCGTCTCGAGTTTTGAGCCAAAAACTAAAAAGACTCAGCAGCCCGAAAAATCGAAAAAAATCGTAACTCAGTTTAAAAAAATCCCACAAAAATTCTTACTTGCTCACGTAAACACAATCCACATAAAACATCTATATATGCCTTTGCCGTATTTTTTCCTCTGTTAGAAATCAAGAAATCGGAAATTTTCGTGCATTTGCCAAAGTGATGCTGTGCCGTCCCCACATAGGTAGTTGTGTACACAAGCCTGTAGAAGTACAGACTTAAATTTTCAGCTCTCTACAAGCTTTAGTTCTCGAAAAAATACCAAATAAAGCTTTTCCTAGCTAGGTGGCCCAAGCTAAAATTCAAATTTCTCGAGAACTAAAGCTTATAGAGAGCTGAAAATTTAAGTCTGTACTTCTACAGGCTTGTGGTACACAACTACCTATGTGGGGACGGCACAGCATCACTTTGGCAAATGCACGAAAATTTCCGATTTCTTGATTTCTAACAGAGGAAAAAATACGGCAAAGGCATATATAGATGTTTTATGTGGATTGTGTTTACGTGAGCAAGTAAGAATTTTTGTGGGATTTTTTTAAACTGAGTTACGATTTTTTTGATTTTTCGGGCTGCTGAGTCTTTTAAGTTTCTGGCTCAAAACTCGAGGCGGATGGGAGCTGTTGCAAAAGCAAGATGGCCTTCTTGTAGGGCTTGCTTTGCTCTATCGAATGGTACTTTGCAACCCATTCAGAAATAAGAAGTGTATGACTTATTGCTGTTGAAATTCAAAACGGGCATTAATTTCCGGACAACCTAATAGTAGCTAACTGCCCTAAGGAGTTATGTCAAAAGTCCTCTTTTGTTGCAACCTGGATATTCTAGTATAACTTCACTTAATCTTCTGTGCCGTACATGTTTACGTTCAATCACATTACCGTATTAGGCATGGAATGGAAGATGTAGGACTTATCTATTCAGCATTTACCTTTCAGGTGCGTAAATTTTTACGTTTAACACTTTCCCGAGCAGTCTCCAAGCAAAAAATATTTGCTGAAGAGGTATCGAGTGCGCAGATGGGAGGAGGGCTTGACAGCAAGTAGAGTGATATCAATGTGACTGACACCTTCCCAGGCCTCTGAAGACATGTAACCGAAACGTCAGGCAATTAAGTGTGTCATCGTTAAAAACCTATGCTGCACAGAAGATTAAGTGAAGTTGCCGTAAGGAGTATTATTTTACCCGCATCATCACATATCAGCCCGCGCACGTTGAAAATGTGTGTAACTTATTTTCACGAAGTACCTGAATGCCAACAATCTAAGCACTTGCCTTCCATGAGTAACTTTAAGCCACTTTCCTCGCCGTCTGGCTTTCTGCTGTGCGGTCCCCTCACACACGGGGTTAGCGATGCGACGTGGAAATCAAGGGCACGGCCTAGTAAGTCTGCTCTTGTAAGGAAAAATCTTTTCACTATATCAGCAAAAATGATAAAAAAAATCCTGCATATTGGATTGCTTCTACAGCGCAGGGCGGTAACAAGAATGGTGGGCAGTATGCCTTTCTGCACGGTTGCGTTGTAGCGTTAACTGCTCTGCCCCAGGGCGGCGCTAGTTACTCGCTCTTCTTGTACTCTAGCAGAGTTTTCTATTTCGATTCCAAAGCAGGCGTGTGACATTTTGGACAGTAATAGAGACAGTTGAGAGGTTGAGTTTTTTTATTTTCAATTTTAATATTACCCCTCCTTCCAGTTCGCGAAACCACAATTTCTGCACGTGCACCTAAAAAACCTATCTAAGCTAACATTTTCAATTTTCATTTGAAACTCAGGATCTTTTTTGGTTCTTCTCTCTAGGAGACTTGCGTAACTCGTCCAATTTTCTCCAGAGGCTTGCGTCTCTAACGTAAGCCGAGCGCGGCAGTGCCGACCAATCAAAGTCGCGCAGTAATCAGGCTGCTAAGGCTAGCGGTGCAGCAGTACTGTCTCCCAGAACGATGTCAGGGTGCTCAGTGCGCTTTTTGGATTAGACAAAAACGACAAGTCCGCCCGGACGACACGCCATGGAGATTGCCTCATGCTCTGCACCTATAACGCCAGGACAACCTTCACAAACGTCGACCTCCACGCTCTTCTCGACGCTGCGAAGAACATAAAGTATGACGTCATCGCTCTGCAGACAGCCAATTCCAGAAAGAAGGACGCGCGAGAGATGAGTGATGGGATTCTCATCATTCGTGGTGAGAAGGTTCCATCAGGCCTAAAGGGCCGGGCATACATCACGCGATTACATCGCCTAGCGATTCTCCTGACAAGACAACTTTTACAACATCATTGCATCTCGATCATCTTGCATATCGATTATGATAGTTTTCCAGCGCGACTAATCGCTGAACATTTTTTCCTAAGGCATACTTCCCTTGTCGGAATCGTAGCGATTTGGCCGAATCTCAGCGATATCGCGTCGCTCACTTCAAACGAGCTGAGATTGGCCTTCTTTTCTAAAAGTTTTTATAATCGTATCTTAGATTTTGGTGCTGTTTTCTTATCTACGATCTCAAAACTAATCTGATTTTGCCGAAGTTCGTTGTCTCTCGGTGACGATACTTTCGTACCCAATTTCTATCCCGTACCGGGCACTAAACCTTCAAATTCGCGAAATGCGCTCAAACCAGATCTATAAAGGTTAGTCCGCTGATTACGAATATCATACTTTTTGCACAGAAACGTCATTCTGATCACGGTGGTATACGATAGGGGTTTACGGTAGGGGTCAAAATCACGGATTTGGTTACAATAGGTTTTAGGGTTTTCTGACATGCGGATCACGAATAGCATGATTTCTCCCATGGTAAGGCCTTTTTATGGAGTTAGGGTAGGTGCACCGTATGGGGCCAAAACGATGAATTTGCACTTGTTCTAAAAGGGTCTTTGGGCGTTGATTACGAATATCAGGCTATCGCCTCAGTAACGCTTTATTGTGGAGTTATGATGAGTTGCAGCAAATAAGTGGACATTTTTTCTCTTTTTAGGCCAAATTAGACCCCAAAAACTGACGAAAGGGCTTTATCATGCAAAGTGAGCGCAATATTCTTGTAAGCACGTAAGATAAAAACCCTTCAGAGTTTGAGCAGTTCTAAATTTTCGACCCCTTACCGTACATGTATAAAGTCGCAACCGTATCACAATAGCACGATTTTCAGCATCATTGGGTCGAACAACCCCCTGGACCGAATTTGAGAAAATACTTGACTTCAAAATTTTGCGGCCTGGACTCTGGAATAGCCGAAAAATCTTAAGCTGGATTTTTTATGTGGTTCATAGAATCTCGCAATTACTTTGAAAAAAGCTTCCACCGTAACAGAACGACAAAAAATTCATTTGAACACGAATGGGAGTCATATTGAAATTAGATCAGTTTGGTTTTTCAAGATTCCTTATATAAGATACTAGAGGGCAGACCTTAGCGTAAGATTTTTTTTCTGATACTCGTCGCACGGATTTTTGGATAATTGTATAGCTAGCAAGCTAGATACGTCATGATTCGCAACTGTCGAAGAAAAAAACAGCGATCTGAGCCAAACGCGTACTGTATATGTTAAATCTGTAAACGCACGAATCGCTGCAGAAGTATGAACATGCAGCTAGCGATTTAGTCGTCGTGATTTCGTCGCTACTTTCAGCAAATCACGAGGACTAGAAGTCGCGACGATGAAATCGCTTTAAGTACGCCCGGCCTTTAGAGCAGACTCTAGCAATTCCAGTCGCGTCGCTATTTCCAACTCAGACATGCATATGTCCCGAGTTCGCAGCGCACGCGTTTTATAACTGTGTCCCGCCGCGTCTGTTATGGACGCTGCGACGAATCGCGGGCCATTTTTGGACGGGCCTCCTCTCAGCAGGGATAGCTACGACTTCGCTGAAAGTCAACGAGTCTGTCCTCAATTCTGCACCAGCGATGGGTGAATCGCTCACATAGCTTCTTTTTTGTGAGATGTTTTGTATTTTTTTTGCAAATGCGAATCTCATATAGAATTATACCGTCTCATCAAGCGCTTCCTCTCTGCATGATAGAATGGTCAACATTCCATACCATTAATCATCGAAAACAGCACATGCGAACTATATAATATGGAATGCTTCTCATGTCACTTCACCCTCTGTGTTACCATTTACTGTTCTCGCACATCAATCTTTTCCTATTCTTGTTTAATAGTAACAAATGGTGACAGAATCTCAAATGTTTTTGCTATGATTTCTGAAGCAGAATAGATGTGCAATGTCGGTTGCTCAGGCATATATGTACCAGTGCGTCCCTCTGCTTCACAGGCTCGCACTTGTTCTACTCTCTGAAGCCCTACTCATTATCGCATAATGATGGCATTGAAACTTACCGCAATGGCGACTGTCACGAAAAAAAATGTAAACAACCACTCATTTTAAAAGTTTTTTCACGTGAGATCGGTGATTTCGCGTGGATGAAACTTTTCGCAGGAAGACACACGCAAATCT